TATATATATATATATATATATATATATATGCCTAATTTACTAGACTGTAATATCAAAATACCAAAATGCTAACAAAGTACAATGCTGAAGGTTTAACTTAATGTTGGGTTCCCACAAGGTTCCAGACCTGGAGAAGTTACATTTTTGGAAATTATTTTCTGTAATAAAATAACAGCTTTTCTACACTGTAAAAAGTGGAATGCAATTGCTAAGGAAATATTTCTACCTTATTAAACCCTTAAATATTACTTTTGATGGTATAACCTAATGCAGTCAGGTTGATTCAGTCTTTTTAAATAATATCATATAATATAATATACCACATGAAAAGTGAGTGAAGTGAAGTGCACATGGTTATCTGATTTCAATACATTTTCTTTGCATTACACACACACACACACTATATATATATATATATATATATAGTGTGTGTATAAAATCTAGTTATTAGTATAAATCTATTAATAAAAGTTATGGAAATGTCTTGGAAACTCATTGGGCAAATGTGTGGGAACTGTTCAGTTTGAACAAATAATCCTAAATGGATACAGGAGAGCATATGATCCAATAAAAACTTTCTGAACCATTTAACCATATAACCAACAATAGCATTCCAGACAACAAAACTAACCTACACAATATAGGTACACAGGTGTTGAGAAATCACCTCTCCTGTCTCAAAGCATTTACCTGAAATCATGTGACTCTGATCCTGCTTAATATGGCAAAACAGGAAATGCATTAAGGAGGGAAAGTGAGGAATAAAAAGAGGACAGTTCTGTGCACACTCTAGTGCAAACACACTCGAGAGATATTCTTGTGAATGACGCAGCTTTATAGAAATGGCTTTCAGGACTCAGCAAACAAGTGTCTGCCCGCTTCTCCTAATCTCATTCTTCTTACACTTCATCACAGGTACAGTAGCATTTAAATACTTATCAGGACAGTTTACAGATTTTTCAGATATTGGTCATGGAGGTGATGTGGGACACATTGTTTTATGTTTCTGGATTTGTCTTTAGATAACAGGGCCGCTGCAATATCCATTCGAGAAAAATGTGAGTGTGCTGAGGAAACTGGCTCAGTGCAATGGAGAAAAATTACAGACTACACGATCATACAGAAAGATCCTCTTTGCAACAAGGTTCAAATCATGTGAGTAAGAAAGCATCATTCTCATTCAGGTGTATCTGAATGTGTTGTGCTCCCTAAGATGTACGAGATGAGTGGATTTTATGTGCAGCTTCAGAAAAAAATGTACCTTTGATACATTGTCGTAGAAAGTATTTTTTGTCTAAAACACTTTTGTGGAAATCATGTCTAAATTCAGAAATTCCGATCGAGCCACACCTTGGCTCATCATTTGCTTCAAACTGAAATTTGTGTATCGCCCTCATGTCACTCAAAACATGATTTTTTTTTCATGTGGAACACAAAAGGTGTTATGTCAATGTTGCTCTTTTGCATTTTTAAAAAAGCTTGGTGATTATTACCAGTCTTGGCCAGATGCAATTATATTTTACCATCTTTAAAATATATATATATATTAAGTAAGTGAATGTGACCTCTCAACGTGCATGATGCCCCTGCCTCCAAGCAAATCTTGTACTATTCTACTAAATTCAGTACTTTTTACTGTAGTCTATAACTAAGTCTGTAATAATTAACATGCAATTATATCCCTCCTGGACATTTTGCAATCCATGTATTTGTTAACTGTGTGTGAGGATATTACACAACATGTCATGTTGAGACATATCGTGAGTTGGGATCATTTATCTGGAGGGAAGCCCAAAACCAAGCCATGGCAAGATAAATTTTGCATTAGATTAGTTTCATTTAAATTTGGGCATGAATGGGCATGATGCGAATACATATCATGAATACCACTGAACTCTTCCTCAAGAAACTGGAAATATTAGCTTTTTATGACAAAATCTAGTGAACACAGATGCAGTGGGACAATTTTTGATAATTTTCCATTGATATTCTGATGCCAATCAATTGACCCTCACAAAATACTACTTTAAATAACCTCAGAGAAAACAACAAATAGGAAAAAGGAAGGAATGTGAAATGCAAAACTAAAATGTCTCACTTTACCTGTATTCACCTTAAGCCTGAGGCTTAAGTTTGTTTTAGTAAAAACACTTTTACAATAGTCTAAGTAATGATCAAACAATGCAAAGATTACATACATTTTCGGTATAATTAATATAAGACTTCAAATGAAGTTTGTTTGGAAAGGTAGCATGAGTAAATGCCTCCGATCAAATGTTGCTGTATCTTATAGCTTGCAGTGGTTTGCACACATTTAAAAACACACTGTTCTCCTCCACAGACTCCAGCTGTCAGGTAAACGAGCTTGTCTAAATCCAGAGTTCAAGCAGGGGAAAAAACTACAAAGATGCTGGAGAAGGTATGTGGACAACAGCTGCCCTCTGATCATGCTGCAAACGATTTGATTATTACAATTACATTTACATTTAGACATTTAGCAGACGTTTTTATCCAAAGCGACTTACAAATGAGGACAATGGAAGCAATCAAAATCAAAATGATATGCAAGTGCTATAACAAGTCTCAGTTAGCTTAATGCAGTACATGTAGCAAGTTTTTTTTTAATCATATAATAAATAAAAAGAAAACAGACAGAATAGAAAAAGAATAGAGCAAGCTAGTGTTAAGAGGCCTTTTTTGCTTTTGTTAATCAGAAGAATTCAGAAAGTCAGAATTATAATTGTATAATAAATAAAAAGAAAACAAATAGATAGAATGTAAAAAGTTCAATAAAACAAGCAGTTAGTAAATAAATAGAGTGCAAGTCTAAAAGGGAGAAGGTTTTTTTTTTGTTTAGTTTTTTTTAAATAAAGAATAGAATTAGAATAGAGAGTGCTAGATTTAGATTTAGATTTAGATTTAGAATCGGCTAAAAACGCATCTCTTCCATCTTTATTTGACCCTTGAAGTTGGCTAAGGACTCAGCTGCTCGGACTGAGTTGGGCAGGTCATTCCACCAGGAGGGAACATTTAATTTAAAAGTCAGAGAAAGTGATTTTGTGCCTCTTTGGGATGGCACAATAAAGCGCCGTTCACATAACATTTATGATTAAATGATTATAATTATTATCAATGATTATAACATTAATACACTAATAAAAAAAAAGTGAAAAAGTGTGAATTAAGTACACTGATTTCAAACCTCATATAGGTTTTTAATTTGAAAAGTGAAAAACACTGCCACTATGTGGAAGAAGCAAATACTATCATGAAAATACTCATTCTAAAGATTCACTAGCTCCCCTCTCTGCACACCATATAGGTACAAAAGCTATAACAGCATGTTAATACATTAATAATATTGTCAAATACATAAAAAATATTGACAATGTTTTAAAGTAATATGATATTTTTACAAATATAAATAAAAATACTTGTTATATGCAGCACTAGAAGCCTTGCATTATACAAATTGTGTATAGCTGCTGATGCTTTCAGGGATGTTCGAGTAAGGATAAATATGGTCTCTAGTGAATTTTAAGTGTTTACGTTGCCATTAATGGTGTGCATTGATTTAGGGTTGAGAACATGTGTTTTTGCTTGTTCAGCTTTGCGGGCCTCCCCAATAATTAAACCCTTTCACTGTTCTACTGTCTAGGATTAAATTCAACACACAGAAGAAGAAGGTCTGTCTGAAGCTCAAGAAGAAGAATGGATCAAAAAAGCCCAAGAGGCATTAATTCAACAATCTTTACCTTTTCTGTGTGCCTGTACTTTGTCATTTACCCTGCCAGTCCTTTATTTTGCACAAATAAATGATATATGTATTATGTAGATGGAATGTGTGTATATATATATATTTTGTACTGCTATTTTCTAATAAAAGTTTTTGCATGGTTTTGTGCAATTGATGTGACAGTTAGCTTATATCATTTTATGGCCGTATTTAAAAGAAAGCAATCTGACATTTAATTTTAAAAATACAAATACACATATATAAAAAAAACATAAAAATAAAATCAACAAAAAGCATTCTATTCAGTGAAGGAAAATAATTGGAATATTCTATGAACTAACCCCACCTCTGTCTTTGACCACTCTCATTAATATTAAATATGCCACTTTAGTCTCATGGCAAGAAACACCTTTCAAGAAAGAAAAAAAGAACACAATCTACTGTGTTTCCCAGAAAGAATCCCACTTATGCATTAGACCAATTTAAAAACAAGGGGTCACGATTAGAGATGCTCTCCACCTGCATAAAGAAATGACACTGTGAAGCCCCCTGCCCACCCAATCAATTACTGCAAACCAGCTGTGACTCTCAACTGCAGAAATATATCAGGCATATAGTCTTTAACCACTTCTGGATTTCTGAGTCACTGTTTTGCAGAAGATTTGAAAGACACAGGCAAAACACATAAGTTCCATATAGGCTATTATTAATTTCCATTAATAATGCACTCTTGTCTAACACATCTTTTCTTGCATATATTGTTCTTACCATCTCATGAAACGCCGTTTCTTCGTAAGAGCCGACGGAACCCAGCTGTTTGGTAAGACACAACGTCTTATCTCTCCACTTCACCCTGCTGCTTCCTCGGGGAATAGACTGTCAAAGTAACGCTACTCATCGAGAAGACTGCCAGCTGTGTAAACCAATCCGACACTCCGCTGATTACAGGAGCCAATCAGAGACGACCGTGGGCAGGAGTCTTCTGCGGTTGCCCTGGGAAACGCCGGGACCGTTCACACCATTATTAGCATGTCTGTGAGATAATTGTCACTAGTCTTGCGATAACCATGAGACAATTAAGCTGCAAATAAAAGATTGCCCACCTGCCATATTAAAACTTCATTAAACAGGAGGATTTTAATATTTTAAAGCTTTAGTTAAAATAAAATGTGTGAGGATTAACATGTAAGTACGCGAATATAAGCAATGCTAGAGAGTTTCCTGTTTTTAGCTCAGTCTGAGAATAACATCTAGGAAAATATGACACCGAAAGGTCGGATAAAATATTTGAGGAAGCAGATGCTTTGAGCTGCCAAGACTCTTCCCCCATGGGAAGGGAAATGATTATATCAAGGGCACTGCCAAATATGGGAACTTTTTATGAATTTAGAAACAAAGTATATAGCCTACTTCACACTGTAAACCCTAAACCCTACTTAAATATTATATTCCTACTTAAATGCTAGCCTATATAAAAATATTTCAGTCAGTAAATTTGTTGACTGATAAGTACTGAGAAGTAGGTAAATGATAGTGTCTTTCAGCTGTGAACTTTACAAAGAGTGAATTTAACGAGTTCATACCAAAATGATAATTCTATGCAGCTACCCATCCTTATGTCTTTCTGAACCTGCATGACTTTCTTTCTTTCTTTCTTTATTGAAAAGTAATGGTAACCAACCCGTTTTGGTGACCATTGACTTCCACTGTAAAAATGTCTTCTTTTATGTTCCTCAGAAAAAGGAACAACATGAGGGTGAGTAAATGATGATAGATTTTTTTCATTTTTGGATAAGGTTAGCAAGCTAGAAGTAGATTAATCTCAGATTTGTGTTCAAATATCAGTTTCGACTTAACTTGAATTGACTTGGGAACTTTTTATAAATTTAGAAACAAAGTATATAGCCTACTTCACACTGTAAACCCTAAACCCTACTTAAATACTATATTCCTACTTAAATGCTAGCCTATATAAAAATATTTCAGTCAGTAAATTTGTTGACTGATAAGTACTGAGAAGTAGGTAAATGATAGTGTCTTTCAGCTGTGAACTTTACAAAGAGTGAATTTAACGAGTTCATACCAAAATGATAATTCTATGCAGCTACCCATCCTTATGTCTTTCTGAACCTGCATGACTTTCTTTCTTTCTTTCTTTATTGAAAAGTAATGGTAACCAACCCGTTTTGGTGACCATTGACTTCCACTGTAAAAATGTCTTCTTTTATGTTCCTCAGAAAAAGGAACAACATGAGGGTGAGTAAATGATGATAGATTTTTTTCATTTTTGGATAAGGTTAGCAAGCTAGAAGTAGATTAATCTCAGATTTGTGTTCAAATATCAGTTTCGACTTAACTTGAATTGACTCAAATTTAGAGAAGATAATAATATAATGTTAAATATGCAAAGGATATTATGACTCTCAACCATACATTAAATAAACTTAACTTCCCACAAAGGTACACAAAACTGCACTTGTGGTATTCATTTGTGTGTAGACAAACAGAAAATATTGAACAGGGACCAAGTTCATTAAATTGAACATTAATCACCTTAGCGGTGACTTCACTCAAAACATCTATCTAAAACAACATCGATAATGCTAAAATAAGAGAGCTAAAACTTTGTGTGTTCTAAAGAACAGCTTTTTAAATGCTACTTACATTATATGATTACATAATTACATCATCCAAGCACAAGGGTTTATGGGTATTCCCCACTGCATACATTTTGTATTGGGGAACACATTTTTAAGTCAAAGAAGATCAAGGACGTTAGATATTTGAGTTGAATTTACTATTTTTGTAATTCTTGTTATTGGTGTAGAAAACATTATTGTATGACCCATTGATGCTCATAGATTTTTCACGCCAGTTTTTTTTTTACAGTGCCCATCTGCGACTCTCCATTAGCAAACGGAGAGTCACACAAATTAACACAGACTCACAACACAAAGAATTTATTTACTGTGCAATTGAATATTTTTCCATGAAGTAAATCAAGAACAACACACATGAATGCAGCATATCCTGATACTCAAGTATTCAGGATGTTGAAGTCATCCATTAAGGTTAATGGAGAGAAATAACGCCTGGGGGGTTGCTGTCCAGTCTTTAGGCTGAAAACCCTCTAATCTGGGTTAGTATGATGAATGGAATCTCTTAATTGTATTGACGCATGGAGACTGGATGCAGGAGATCTAGGCTTAAGGTTACAGACCGGAATAAAAAGCAACTCTTTGGTTAACAGTGTTTAAAGGTTGTTTAAGGAGCTCAATCTTGTAAAAGAAAGATATAAAAGACTGTGAGCATATATATCTATATAAACTGATTCAGGTTGATTCAGTCATATTACATTATACTTGAATAAAGCCAGTTAATTTAAATGTTACTACATAAAGCAATTTTTAGGTGACTCAATACTTTTCAAATGTATTTACTTTTAACAATTTCATTGTTCAGCAAGGATGCATTAAATTGACCAAAAAGTTATATTTGTTTCAAATAAATGCTATTCTTTTAAACTTTATCCATCAATCATGTGTGGGGGGGGGGGGGGGGGTA